GAGGTTTAGGGTGGATATTGGGGAAAATTCCTTCATGGAAGGGGTTGTTGAGCATTGGAACGGGCTGCCCAGGGCAGTGATGGAGTCACCAACCCTGGAGGGATTTAAAAGACAGGCAGACGTGGTGCTGAGGGACATGGGTTAGTGGTGGAGTTGGCAGTGTTAGATTAATGGTGTGGCTCGACGATCTTCAATGTCCCTTCCAACCTAGACGATTCTGTGATTCTATATACTGCGTGTACAGGAGCGAGGTGAGTAGCAGAGGTTGTCTCTGTGGGAAATCCTCTATTTCCTCTGTTTTTAGTAGCTAGAAGTAAATCCCAAGGGAAAGGAGGAGAGAGAAAGCACGAGTCGATGCATAAACAGGGTTGCAGCTTGTGCTAATTGTTGTCAGTACCTGTTGTCCCCAGTTATGCCTTCGTTATTTATCGATCTTTCGTTTCAAACCGCAGGTGATTCCCATCGCCACCCACCTGTTGAACAACGGCAGCGGGGTGGGAGTGTTGCAGTGTCTCGAACACATGATCGGGGCGGTGAGGGGCAAGGTGGCGGAGGTAAGAGCGAGCAACGAGCGGATCAGGGACCCTTTGCTGCTCCCTTCAAACTATTCACCTTGTCTGTAGGTGCTGCGCCGCCCTTGTGCATCGTCCCGTTGTGCGTCCTTCTTCTCCATCCATGTCTTTTTTTTCTCCCGTAGATTCACAGCCACTTCTCTCACAAGCCGATCATCCTGATCGGGTGGAACACGGGTGCCTTGGTGGCCTGTCACGTAAGTACCCGCTTCTTTTGCGTCGTCTCAGAACCCACTTGACAGCTTCAGTTCAGAGTTGGGTTTGAATTACCGTTGAATTTGAGGCTCCGCTGGGCTTTTTGTCCTTTTTCTCTTTCGAAGGCCTGGCTTTGAGACAGACATCCTTTTTGGTCGTGAAAGCATAAGCAATTTGAGTTATTCAATGTTTTCTTCTGTACTCTTTTAATCAATAAAGGAAGGTCTAAATATGGAAGATATTTAGCCTGGCAAAGCAGCCTTCGCACCCTCCGTGCGCTGGACTGTTAGGATGCTGACCGTTGCTTTTTCTACCCAGGTTTCAGTGATGGAGTACGTCACTGCAGTTGTGTGCCTTGGATTCCCGCTCCTCACCGTCGATGGCCCCAGAGGGGTAAGTACCAAAGGGAGTCGGACCCATTTAAAGAACTGTACTTTTTGGTTTGTTTTTTTTTTTTTTAATCTCCCAAGTTTATTTCACAGTATCGAACTTGGTAGTCCAGTGATAACTGGAAGATTTTTTGAGGCATGTCTGTGTGATTTTTATTTGGAGGAGGGCTGCCCAGCAGGTGGGACTGTTGCATTCTTAGTAGGATTCTTGATGCGATAACAAGGCATGACAAGTCCTGTGTTCCCGTGTCTCTGCTGTGACATGTTTTTGTAGCTCCTTCCTGGGGTCTTACGTGCGGGTTGCTTGTTAACTGTGTCATTTGGCACCAGAGAGGACAACTTGGATTGATTTATATGGAGCCCAAATTCCTCCTTTATTAGCTGACCAGCGTGCGGTTGGGTTGGGAACGATTACGGTTGTGCTAATGAAATGGCTAATCCTGTGGGTAGTGGAAATCTGGAAAAAAGGCATTTGCTGGAGCTGGGCGCAGCTCTTGAGAAGAGGTTTCTTCAGGACTTGGTGCGACTGTGTAAATCCCGTTGGGGGCTCGCCCCAGGAAGCTTCGCTCTTGGCATTTCTTCAGCCTTACCCTGGGTTTGTGTGGCAAAAGCTTGGAAGCAGGAAAAAGCAGTGAAATAGGGTTTCTGAGCTGTTGATGAGTAACAGGACTATGTACTCATAGAATGATTTAGGTTGGAAGGGACTGTGAAGACCATCTAGATCCATCCCCTGCCCTGGGCAGGGCCACCTCCCCCCACGTCCTGTCAGGATGTGTGCTTGTAAAAAGTCCCTCTCCAGCTTTCTTGTACACTCTCTTCAGATACTGGAAGGCTGCTGTAAGGTTTTCCTGGAGCCTTGCTTCTTCAGGTTGAACAACCCCAACTCTCTCAGCCTGTCTTCATAGGAGAGGTGCTCCAGCCCTCTGATCATCTTCATGGCCCTTCTTTGGACCTGCTCCAACAGGTCCATATCCTTCTTGTGCTGAGGACTCCAGAGCTGAATGCAATATTCCAGGTGGGGTCTCACAAGAGTGGAGTAGAGGGGGAGAATCACTTCCCTCAACCTGCTGGACAGACTTCTCTTGATGGAGCCCAGCATGTGGTTGGCCTTCTGGGCTGCAAGCGCACATTGCCGGCTCGTGTTGAGCTTCTCATCCACCAACACCCCCAGGTCCTTCTTCTCAGGGCTGCTCTCCAGCCTTTCTCCGCCCAGCCTGGCGTTGTGCTTGGGATTGCCCCAACCCAGTTGTAGGACTTTGCACTTGGCCGTGTTGAACTTCATGAGGTTGGCCCGGGCCCACCTCTCCAGCCTGTCCAGGACCCTCTGGATGGCATCCCTCCCCTCCAGCGTCTCTGCCTCGCCACACAGCTCGGGATCATCGGCAAACTCGCTGAGGGTGCGCTCCATCCCACTGTCCATGGCACAGACTCACGCAGCTTTTGAGTCAGTCTTTCTCAGGAGATGTTTAAATGAACCCCACAGTTTATAATTCTCTCTTTTCAGGACGCAGTTGGTATATACTGGGTTTTCACGTGAAGCGCTGTCTGCCCCTGCGGCACGTGCCTTCCTTTTTTGGTCCTTCTTGATTACAGTTCCCTTTGCTCTTGCAGGATGTTGATGACCCCCTCCTGGAGATGAAGACCCCTGTCCTCTTTGTGATCGGTCAGAATTCCCTGCAGTGCAACATGGAAGCAATGGAAGATTTCCGGGAGAAAATACGAGCTGATAACAGCATGGTGGTGGTGGGAGGAGCAGATGACAATCTCAGGTAACAGTCTGCAAGATGGAGACACTCTTCCCAGGAATGCTGAGTGCGCTCCGTACGGAAAAAGAACAAACCCAAATTTGGTACTGAAACTAGATGAGAACTGCATAAAAAGGTCACCTTTTTTACTCAAAACCTGCTATGTTGGATAGAGGGGTGGTTTTCTGTGATAAATCTGCATTGTTTCTCCCAGTGATACATTAAAGATCCAGGGGACAGTGTGGTATGACACTAGAGCACGTATTTGCTTTTTCCATGCCACCCTTAGCTCTGGAATATGCAGCTTTTCGAGGCTGTGTGCATAGTTGGGATGGGGGAGGCTCTAAGAGCCTTGCGGGAAGCGAGAAGCTCTTAGGATTTCCGTAAACTTTGGAGCTTGTTGTCCCGTCACATTTGTGCATGTTTGGAATAACTGTACGAAAAACCTGAGCGAGTCATATGTGAGAATATGGTTGGGCTGATGCTAGAGCTGGAGCCAGCAGCGCAGGCAAGGCTTTGGAGCGTCGTATGAGTCAGAAATCTGTAGCAGGGACAAGCAGTAAAGGAGAGGAAGGAAAGAAATGTGAAACTGTGATACCGGGTCTGAAGACAGAGCTCTGAAGGAAAGGAAATGTCATATTTGCTTTACAAAGTGATTTGGGACGCCGGGCCTTTTTCCTCATCATCGAAGTTTGCACTTTTGAGGGATGAATGCCGTCTTTCCAGCAGACGGTGCTCTTGAGTTGAGAGCTGAGGGAGCTGGCTGTGCCGTATCTGTGTCAGACTGGGTGAGGGAGCGAGTTTGCTGTCACTTGACCCTTACTCTCGGACGAAGGATGATGCTGTGAGTGTGAAAGTGGAAAACCAAAGGTGTGTTGACTTCCATCTGTTTTTTTTTTTTTTTTTAATAGGATAAGCAAAGCCAAAAAGAAGGCAGAAGGGCTGACTCAGAGTATGGTGGACAGGTGCATCCAGGTAATTATGGAAATCTTCCTTTTACACCTCATACCTATAAAAAAAAATAAAATAAAACCTGTGCTGAAATGTCTTGGTGACCACAAGTTATAACCTTACTGCCAGGATTTGTTGGGCAAAGGTAATCTGTCTCCTGAGCAGGATTTTGAAGTGGCTGTCTCCTTGCAGGAGAGACTTGAGCTTCCTGGTAGTGCACCTTAAACAAGGAGCAGTGTTTTCCGAGTCTTCCAGTACATCTGCCTGGGCAAGCAAGCAGAGCTTTGGGGAGCGTTGGAGAAACCATCATGTTTCTCTCCCATGTGTCAGAAATAAGAGGAGTGTGAGCTTTAATGAGAAAGCTGAGGTCCGTCTGTAAGGTTTTAGGGTTTCTTTTTGTGGAATATTAGAGCTGGAGTGCCTTATCCCTTTGCCCCTTTGTGAGTCTTTTGTTCTTTTTTTGGTTCAAGCTGTGAAGATTGGTTGTTTAGAGACCTGCACACCCCTTTGTGTAACTATTTGTTTCCTCCTTCCTAGGATGAAATAGCTGACTTCTTGACTGGAGTCCTCACCCGAGCGGAGAGCCACTCGGGCTCCGATCCCCGTGACCTGGATGCGGAGAAGAAGAAGAAACCGCGTGACTCGACCAGGAGGGATCTGTCGTTTGACTTGCCAGAAAGAAGCAGCAGGCCCGCCTCGCCGGCAGCCAAAGTGCCCGCCTCACCTTCAGGCTCAGAGGTGGGGGCTCTCTCTGGGATACTTTGAGCTGGGGAAGGCTGAGGTTGTGTAAAGAGATGTTTCTGTACTGCTGAAATATGTGGTGAGAGATGTGGCTGGTGTTGGAAGAGGGAGGTGAGAGGATACAGCGGGATTAATGGCTTGCGGTGGTGCAAACGAACTTTCGGGAATAGATCTGCTCCGGCAAAAGGATGCACGTTCTTGCCTGTGTGCTGCTACGCTCGGGGTTACAGAATCCCAGAGTGGTGAGGGTGGGAAGGTCTGTCTGGAGCTCCCCCAGTCCACCCCCGGCCAGAGCAGGGGCACCTCCAGCAGTGGCACAGGACGGCGTCCAGGCGGGTTTGGGATG